TTGCTTCGTGGTGTTGTCTAGTTATTAGTATGGAGTCAATGGTCCAAATAAAATATAGGAACATTGCAGATAGTAACGTTATTCTAAATATGATTGTCAGTTATTTTACAGCGTTCACTGTAGTGTTTGGATAATGCTTTAATATTGTTGTAATAAGCATATTTTATATAACCTTTATTTATTAAGTTATTATTTACTTATTTATTCAAACTTTTTTTTTTTTTTTTACTTTTTTCTCTGGAAAGTATAATCCTGATAATGCCCTTTGAGGTGTCCCGTATCAGGTATAAATGTATGCTGGGTCCATTATAGTAGAAATATTATAGATTTAACTACACAACTCAACAACATATATAGCACTGGTTCAGTGTTTATAGACGTTTTAATGCAGGAATGATACATTTTATAGCTTTTAAACACATTAAATAGCAGACTGTGTATCCTTCAAAATAAAAGTCTTACCTTCCATACAGTAGCTATAAATCTACAGCCAGCGGGATGTTCTGGTTTATAAATACAGTGGAAGCTCCGGATCCCTTCAGTAGGTTTTTCTTGGTGGATGCTGGAAATGAAACTTCCTGTATGGGAGCACACACACACCCTACAGTCCTCTGATGGCACTGTTCCATGTGAGCAGGCCTGGTGGAAGGAATTGAATTAGGCCTGTCTGTAATTGCCAGCGTTTCGCCACATAAATCAAGGAAATAAATATTGGCTATGGCGGGTCCTCCAGGGGACGCCACTCTATTCCCGTACTCCCCTCCTCCTCCCCCATCCTCCCCCGTCCCCACTCCCTCTGCATGACTGCCTACCTTAGCAGGACCTCTCAGAAGTAATCAACTCAAGAGCGCTTTCTGCTCCGGCCAGCATCTTTTCTGGGTCCGTTGTGCCGTTTGTTTACTGTGCAGCTCTTCATGAGGATGCAGATTGGCTGTTCAGCCGGAGCCTGAACCTTTAATATCCACTGTGTCAGCTCTCAGTGAGCTCTGTGTCCTCGCCAGAGAGCACTGAAGGGAAACACTGAGTGGACACTGCGAGGAATCAAACGCAGTCACAAAGCAATCGAACACAATGAGAAGCAGTGTTGTTGTTGTTTATGAATGTTATTGTCTTAATGTCTGTCTGTCTGACTGTCTGTCTGACCAGCCTTCTTCCTCTCTGCAGGAATCATATCGACCTTCCTCCACGTCCATCCGTTCGGAGCCAACCTCGAGTATCTGTGGTCGTACATTCAGAGACTGGACTCAAAGGTAACTGTCTCTCTGTCTCTCTGTTGTATCACTATTTCTCTCTGTCTCACTGCCATCTCTCTCTGTCTGTCTGTCTGTGTGTCTGTCTCAGGTGTCTGCGGGGGAGCTGGAGCGCCTCATGGTCCGTCTGCCCTCCATGTTCAGGCAGGAGCTGAGCGGCGTCGGCGCCACTCTGGAAAAACGTTGGAAGTTCTGTGGATTCGACAGCGTCGGGTCGGCGTGACGCAGAGCGCACACACACACTGAGAGGACACAGTGGACACAGGACGCCGCAGACATTTAACCTGTGTTTGCGTGTGTGTGTGCGGACGGGGATGTTGACACTGGAATCGGTGGAGGAGAAGGATCTTCAGACCTCAGAGACACAGTCCACATCCCCGTGGACCCACAGTCTTCACTAACAGGGGTCTCCAAAACCCAAGTCTCTACTTGGAACTGGATCATGTTCCTGTGGCGTCTTTGGAGCTTTAAACACAGAGAAGCAACCTGCAACAGGAAGAGAGTCGGGCTGTCCCCCGATTAGAGATCGACTAGTCGTTTGTGATGTTAATTTAATTCTTTAAATATCTTTATTTTAACAGAAGTAATGAGTCTGAATGTGTCACAACAAATGTCTTCATCTTCAGAGTCAGAGTCCTGGCTGGAGCCGCTGTAAATCAACTGACCTCCGTCGGTGTTCGACTGTGTTCGGTCCCGGCCGTGATCCCTGGTAGGCCGCTGAGACCGCCTCCATTGCCCATCACCTGACTCTGACTCTGGTGCTCATTACCGCCCCCCGTACTACTTTGACCTCCCAGAGTCCGGGTACAGTCAGCTAACAGGACTGCTAACTAACTAATAGCTAATTCCTGTGTTACAAGAGAAAAGGTCTGTGTTGCAACAATCCTTTCGATACAGAGTTTAACATTGTTTTTCTGCGACTATCTCACTGATGAAGGGGGACAGCCTTAGAAGAGAGAGCAAGTTATACCAAAGTTGATCCTTTACACGTTTGGTTATAAAGAAAAACTTCATGCCAGACCTTCATTTCATTAATTAACAAAACGGGACCACTGATTTCTCACTTTGTCCAGAAACTGGGTGAACTTACATCCTTGTGACTCTCCAGGGTTTATATGGAAATGTAGCTCAAAGAAACTCCCACTGCAAAAATAAACCAAACTACAGGAGTTTACACACCAACTCTGATCGTTTGTACGTCTGTCATTACGCACAGAAACCTTTTATTGAGATCACTGAGTCGGATTTACTGCCGTTACAACAGACTCATACAGAACTTTAAACCCAACATACTAACTAGGAGATTGTTTACAGTAGCTTTTGTAAAAATGTGCGACTCATGTTGTATTTTTTTTTAGGCTTTTCTTTGTTGTTATGAAATTGTGAGAGAAAGTTAAAATTATAAAACAAAAAAAGTATTTATAGTATTTAGTATTTTTTTTAAAGATAATTCATTTAAAATCAAAGACAACTGGTTCCAGTGAGAATACGATCTTTAGTAGTTTGGTGACGTATGCTGTGATTGGTGAAAGTTGCAGCGGTTGGATAAAGTTTTAATGTCACATAGAAGTCACAGTGATTGGTTGGATTTCCTGGAGGGACTAACCATCATCTCTATCATCATATAAACATAAACTTTAAATTAAAAGAACCATAAATACATAAGCTAAAGAAAATATACCATAAAGCCTTACAGAATACTTTTTCCCGTCACATTGGCAGAAATGGGCTTCCGTAGGTGGTTGTACGGTCGATGACAGTTTCAGAGTTGGTGTGTGAACATGTGACCTTATTTATTTCTTAACACCAGACTGAAAATAACTCCAGTCTGAAAACTTCCTGCAGAGATCAGAGACATAAAGTGGAGCAGTGAAATGTGTAAAAAGGACAATATGAATGAGGATGGTGGTGTTTTATGGTGGATGATATGAGGAAGAGGAGTCAGCTCAATCATTCCACCTAATTTATTTCATTAGAGTGTGTAAGGAGGCTGTGCAGCGAGGGCAGCAGACTGAAACATTACTGTGTTTAAATGTGATGAAAAAGAAGAATTTAGTTTCCTTCTGAATGAGTGAGGATGAAGAAGAGAGGAGCAACGAAGACTCTGACGAGGAGGAGACGCCACAGATATGTTGCTTTCTCATTTTTCTTTTGTCTCCAAAGACCACCGTGCTGTACGTCCGATTACAGATGATCATTCAGTGGTTTTGTATTGCACTTCCATAAAGTTACCAGACTCATTGTTTTTCTTATTTAAATAAAGTTGTTGTCAGCAGAGATACTTTAACTCCGAGTGAACTGTTCTTGTTGGAGTTTTAATGTAGGTTATATCATGCAAACAGACTGAGGCTAAAGCTAACAGGTCCCCAGACGCTTGCATAAAGGGGTTATGACAATATGAGTTGCTGATACTTTAACCCAAGCTGTTTTTTTATGACTGCTTTTACTTGAGTGCAGTTTTCTGTTGCTCTACCACCGTTGGTCGTGATTCCACCTTAAGGCTGCTGAATTCAGTTCACAGGATGATGTAAACGGCTGCTCACCACCAGCTGGGAGCAGCTTCTGATGTAACACAGGCGTAACACACACATCTCGATAATGGACTTATCTGTGTGTATGTGTGTGTGTGATATCTAAATCTAGGGCAGAGCTCCACTGTGTCACAATCTCTGGTAAACCTACCCACTGAATACATTTTTCTCTCTCACTGCTTACTAATTTCTTTCAGCGCCAGTAAAATAATTCCACAGAGGGAACACTGACTCACTGAAGACCCAGAAGTGTTTTTTTGTTTGTAAGCCGCTCTACTGCAACCCTGCTAGCGACCCTGCAGTCCCCTGTAGCGTGTTCACGCTGAATGTGAGGTTAATGGAAAGATACGATTAGGTTGGGCGGATACATTGAGGTCAAGGCGCATGTTTCACCTTGATCCAAAAATGTGTGCTTTTCCTGAAGCTTAACATGACATTTATGAAGAAGCAAGAGGAGAGAAAACTAGGTAGAAACACATAAACACAATGCAGCTAACGTCTGTACAGTCCGTATCGCCCATTGTACCAACAGCCTGCTGCTCTGAAGGCCTGTTTTTTCCAGAAATACATATTCTGCCTGGAGTTCATTGCCCTTAAAGGACTAGTTTAAAACCATCTGAATACAGCTCAGCCTTCCAAGCGAAAAACATGAAAGGTCCTATCTAGAGCGAGGGTTTGTTTGTCTGTTCTGGGCTACTGTAGAAACACGGCGGACTCCATAGAAGGAGACTGTAGTCATGTTGGTTAAGATACATAGAGTTGGTGAAACCAGATGAACAACAGGCCTTCAGAGAAATTGTGTTTTCGGAATAATGAGCTGTCGAATGGGCTTTTAGTCCATTGGGACATTTGTCGGACTGTTGGGGTTTTGGAATAAACTGACTGCACCAGATGTTTTGTTACTCTGAAGTCATCAATGGAAACTGGAAAAAGGGCCGATGCTTTCCAGAGATACTTGGCAGGTGAGTGGATGAACCATCAGTGTCTCTCGTGGATGAACTTCCACCAATCAGATCAACGAACCGTATAACGAAGTCCGACTGATGAGAGAAAACATCTTTACCATCGAGAAAAGCTTTACAAAGATCGATTCTTGTGTGATTCTGCAAGTGAAGAGAGATTTATTTATTGATCGTGATCATTAGTTTCACAGCCGATGGCAAGAAAAAGCTTATTGATTGAGCCAAATGATCATAAATAATGACCCAAAAATCTCCAGAATAATACATAGCGCTCCTTTACACAATTGAAGTGCACTGGAGAGTCAAGTTAGTGCTCCGACCCAATTGTTTATCAGAAATAATGAACTCAACTGTTATTTAATATACTATATATAACAATTTAATCTGAAATGACATTATCTCATTATGAGGCGCAGTCTTTGTAATTATTCCTGCCATCAATTTAAAGACATTAACACAGCAAATTTCATTATTTCTTCAATTGAACCTTGTGACATCGATTAAAGCAGCTTCAGCTCCAAATACTGTTTTTTTGTTAACGCATTCTGACTGCAGTAATGGAGATAATGTGTCATATTCATTATTAAATCAGGAACATTTTGTCCGAGTGCTGCTGTTCGTCCACAGGTTTAAGATTTCACATGGCTGCTCCCGTTTCCTCGGGGCCCGACAGGGGAAGAAAACCAATTTCACAATTTGGGGCAGCGCTCCTCTCCTGAGCAGGGAACACATATAATCACACACTGGTCTGTGCAGGGGAGGAAGGCTGGCTGCAGTATTTATGTCTCTGTTAGCTTTACTGAGTCAACAGCCAGCTCTTCTCTCTCGGCAGACCCTCAGTGTTCATGTCACGATTTGTACACAACAGCTGGCAGCAGCTCTGTTTCCCCACATTCACCAGCTCACACTGGGTGCTTTTGTTCGGGTGTTGGTTTCAGTAGCAGCATCACACCCTTCTGGACAGGAAGTGAACAAGATGGTAGGAAATGCAGGTAGAACAAGCACCTTTTGTTACATCTGTATCATTTTTAATTTTTAATTTTTTCACTGAACCCCTCAGCAAGACCCCAGAAACTCTCCGCTCAGGTGGGTGCTGCCCCTCAGCAAGCTTCTGAAAAGTTAGCCAATCATATTGCACTTCTTGTAGCTGCAGGCTAACCAGCAGTAGCAGCTAGTTAGTGGTTAACCTACTAGCAACCCATTAACAACAAGCTTAAAGAGACAGCTCGTTTCATGGACAGTATATAAAATGGACAGAGCATCCGGGTCTGTGAAGTGAAGCCGCATTTGTTTCTTAAAGATGCATTTGTTCTAATGGCTACTAAGTAGAGATATTAGTCAGTGTAATATAATGGTCAAAGAGGTGGAGCCTGGGTGAAGCAGCACTTTTTTAAATGAAACACCCAAAAACAGCAGCACAGGAAGTCTTATAGCAGCTTCACACATCTGGAAAAGGAACAATGGCTGATTTACACACATTTTTAATCGTTATTACAACAGTATTTCCTCCAGATGAAAGTCTAAACGTTGTACGGTGACGGTGTAACACAACAACAACCAACAGAAGGAGGACGGGATTAGTAAACCCTCTTTCTGCTTCTTTAAAGCTGACGCCGTCGTTCTTCGTCAGTTCCTCAGTGTTCCTGTCCTCTATCTCTTTCTCACACTCCCTCCTCTTCCATTTATCTCCCCCGTTCCTTCTCTCTCTGTCTCTCTCTGTGCGTCTATTGTTCTCGTGTCTGACAGAAACATCAAATACAAACAGAAATTACAGAGGACGGAGCTGTCAGCTCTGGATGATGATTCCTCAGGGCAGTAATTACTTCCAGCTCCCTGTCCACTCTCTGCGGGATTAAACACACATAAAATGTTACAAACAAAACTTTGTCCTGCAAAAATGATCAGGAATAAATTAACAAATGTGCAGGAGGGAACACACTTAAAGGTACCACTCCTATCACTGAATCCTTAAAGGTCCAGGTGTCACATAGGTAGGTATGTTTTCATTAGCGAATAATCACCTGAAAATAAGAGTCGTTGTGTTTTGTGTTTTCTCCTCTTCTGGCGGAGTCCACCACGTTGAACCACCATGTTGCTACAGTAGCCCAGAACAGACAAACCAAACACTGGATCTAAAAAATATAGATTCACATTTTTAGCAAGTTTTGCAACCACCGTAGTTTCTTCTGTTTATTTGGTTGCAATCTGCAACTTCACCACTAGATGCCACTAAATCCGACACACTGGTCCTTTAATTATCATGTATTCTCCTTTTATAAATGCTTCAGACGGAGGATGAATAATCTTTTAATATCGGACTCTCTGAAGGTCCCAAGACCCAGAAAAGCGACTCACTGTCAGTATATTTCATATATTTTATCCACTAAGCTATAATATTGACAGTTTTGGTATAAATTCATATAAAAAATGTCAAACTTTAAGGGTCGTGAGATGTTTCAGTGCGTTATTTTAAAATCCCGTGTTTAAAGAATAAAAATCAGCTCAGCAGCTCGCCTCCACGCCAAAAACCTCTATACATCCTGTGTGTGTGTGTGTGTCTGTGTGTGTGTTTGTGTGTGAGCAGCCTGCCATTAGCCGTGCTCGCTCGCTAATGAACCCTGTTGACAGCAGCTGTAATTAGCCACGGCTCTTTTTGTTCTCTTTGTCGACGGCGCTGTCGAGACGTTCCTTCATATCCCCCGCCGCTGTCACCTCTCATCACCGACGCCTGCTTGTCATCACACCTGGCAGCCATTACTGTGAGAAATCTCTTGTTGGGAAATTGTACAGAGGCCATTGTGGCGCTGCTGCCGGTTGACAGCAGTGTGTGTGGCTGTAAATGAATCCAGAACGAGCCGTCGCACAAAGCTGCTGCAACCTGACGGGAAGTAATGGAGTGTTTTTACTCGAGTAGAGTACTGATCTCGGTACTGAATGTGAGCGTTACTGATAGTCTTATATTTTAGCTTTTAGCTTTGGGTTTTGGCGCTTTTTCAGCCAAAGAGGTTTCCGATTGGTTGGAACCGGAGGAGCTAATTGAAGAATGGAGCGGAAAGACAACAGGACCTTCCTGAAAGACGACGTACGCGAAGAAACTGCAGCCGACTGCAAAAAGCAGAAATCAGGAATTTGCTCACAATCAGTGGTCAGTGTTTAAGGGACTCTTCCTGTTAGCTCACCTTAGCCGCAGGGTGGCAGGAGCCAGTTTATTCTCTGTTGTTCTTAGTTGATCAGGTTGATCAGAAGTTGCTACATTTATTAGCAAACAACTTCAAAATCGAGCTTCAGAGCAAAGTTTTGATCATAAGAGTGAGAAAACTATTTCTTAAATCAAAGTTTCTGTAAAAACTTTCTGTATCTGCGTTTGAAAGTTTGACCAAATATCTTTTATTTATTAAAGAAAGTGTAATTTCATTATCATTAAAATATTTTTGCTATGAACTTAAAAAGATTGTTGAGAAAGGCACTAAATATCTTTATTACAATGTATTTACGTATGTGGTTCTGTTCGTACATTTTCTGCTTGCTGTTCATTTATAAAAGTGCAGGAGCTCAACCAACACCCACCTCTATCAGCCTGAGGTCTGCTGAACACAGTGAACATAAAGTTAACTGGAAAATCTCAGCTTTCTCTTTTAGAAACTGTCTGTGTAGCTCCTCTGGGTAGTAAAGCATGAGGCCCGAGATCGTTTTAAAAACAGGGTTTATTCACAGACTCCCAGTCAAGTGCAGGATTTAACCCGGCTCACTCTCCAGTCTGATCTCTCTGTGCTGCAGATCTCCACTTCAGTCGTTTGGATCAGATTCAAGATTAAACCACTTAGCTCCTCCACTCCAACGACATCAACACCTTCTAGAAACCGCTCTCACCGTCCAGCCCCAGTTCGGTACAATAAACCTCCCTGCAACTGTTGACCTGCCTCTGTTTTCAACGTCTGTTTGTCCCAGCATGTCGCTGCAGCCTGGCAGGAGGGATTTCCGTGGTGCGACCGGACGCACACCTTTACTTTCTTTTCTTCGTAACTGTCATTTCCCACATGAAGAAGCTAATAAAAGTTGTTCCATCTCTCATCAGTTTAAAATCCCACTTTAATGCCCCTTCTGGGGGTCCACCTCCCTCAGTCTGCCCCCGCATCATCTCCCTTACACTTGTATGCATGAGCTGTATTATTATTGAAGATCCATTCCACTGTTTTGTAGCACCTCGTAAACGTTCCTTACTGACATTTCACCTTCATACATCCCTCACATTACATACAGGAGATCGATTGTCCTGTTGTTTCTGGTAGGACAGTCTACAACCTGGTGAAAACAGCCCAAGAAGAATCCACAAGTTACATGATTAAACCACAGGATATCATAAGCTCAGGTGCTGTGTCTGCAGCCCTTGCTGCTGACAGGTGGACTTCCTTACCAGGCAGTGCTGCGTCCCCTCTCGGAGGGATGTAAACAGACGGTGATCACTGACTAAACCTCCCTCGGCCAGATAATATGGCCGCAGGCAACAGCTACGCGAATTGTCCTGGTACACACATACATGATGAGTCCCCCCACTTTTGCCTTTCCGCTCGCTTTGGTGTTTCTGTCGCTCTCACGCGCAGTGAATCCCAGCAGGTCCATGTTAGCATCCGGTGCAAGGTGGTTTAGCCATGTCTCGTAAAGATGAACGGCTGCTCTCACGTAGAGCCGCTGCGTTGTTCAGCACGACAGGCTCACGATCTTGTTCGCAGCAAGTTCACATTCCCATGATTTACGGTGGGATTGATCCCTTGCAGCCCCTGGGTCTCCCCTCAGCTCTGCCAGGATGGCGCGTGTCGTATCCCGCGCTCGTCCCCTTTGGCGCAGAGCCAGCAGCTTCCTCTCTTGAGTAAGTGAGAAAACTGGCTCTTGGTTGCATTTAAAACTTAGAAATATCCACTAGCGATATATATAAAGCACACAATTCTTCGCAAGAAGAGTAAACAGTAGAAGCAAAGGTTAAAATAGTTAAA